TGAAGGTTTCGGCCTGTCCCAGCAATGCAAAGGTTGCGGTGATGATACAGCAATGCAGGAGGAGGAGAGGAAAGCACTCACATCGCTTAATAATGAGAACAGCAATACCATCCGTCCAGCAGACAAGGGTAAGTGCACAGTTTTGCTAAACCAGAAAGATTATTGTGAGAAAATTTTGTCACTGCTCAGTGACAAAAATACTTTCGAGCCCCTGAAAAGAGACCCAGAAAGTGGTTACAGGAAGAGGGTGATGGATTGTCTGAAGCAGTTAGAACAAGATAATGTTATTGACCAGACGTCATACCACAGAGGAAGCTATACCAAGTCTATATGGTTTACCAAAGATAGATAAACAGGGTGAACCTATAAGAAAAACTGTCTGAATGATCAACTTGGTCACCTATAACAGCTCAAAGTTTCTGTCTTTGATCCTCAACATGTTGATAGGCAGCTCTAAACACCACATCCAGAACACCTTAGATTTTGTTGAGAAGGTAAGAGATGACGTTATGGAGGCAGATACAACACAAGTGTCTTGTATGATGCTACATCTCTCGTCACTTGTGTTCCAGTCACTAAAGCAGTGGAGGGTGTTACAACACAGCGCAAACACCATCCCTATAGACACAGCAGCCAGGGAAGCAGAAGAACATCATATCAGGAAGGCCCTGAGTAAATGTGGTTATCCCAGCTGGATGTTTGTCAAAGCTGGGAAAGAACCTAAAGGCAAACCAGGAGAGAAGAAGGACAACTGCTGCATAAGCGAAAACTCTTAGTGATCTCTTATCTGTCATCAGTATCGGAACAGCTGAGATGCATTTTCTCTAAACACCATGTCTCTGTGGCTTTCAAATACCAAAACACGCTGCACTAAAAACTGGGCCACCCCAAAGATTGGGTCCCCTGGCAAAAAGTCCCTTTTGCATTAGTAACTACTTGAATTGACTCACCACGGCTTGCCAGGACTCAACTTGAATCGACTGGTTTTCCATTACAATTTAGTACCTTTTGATATGCGTGGTCATT